TCTAGGTTGGCAGAGGCTGGGACAAGTAACGGGAGCTCACTCCGATACATGGCGCTAGGGATTCGAACCGCCGAACTGCCAACCTTTCTGATTGACAAGCTCAGCATCTTAGCCACTGAGCCACCGTGTCCCTTTTCCATAGACACATAAACAAATAAATTTGCCACCAGGCTTCCCTTTATATAGCGAAGGGCAACTTTTAATTCCCATTGTTTATCATAAAAGTCTTGTTCTTCCCATTCCTTTTGTCATGGAAAACGCTCTGCAATCATTTACTTTTTTTTTCAAGCCGCACAAATATAGATGTTGATTGTAAAGAGGCAAAATCCGTACCTAGAGTCAACAGTTCAGACGGTTACGATCTGAGCACCTGCTTTCAGGAAAAGAACTAAAGAGGTACTTAGAGAACTATCCCACGGAAGTGGTCTTGAGACACAGAAAGAGTCATTTCTGGGCATCCTAAAAGAAGCTGGGGAGGCTGCCTACAGTTGGGTACTCGTAATTGTCGTAAGGTACAATGTTTAGTTGGCTTTGCTTTTGAAAAGGGGATTCTGCCAGTTTTAGAATTAAGTCAACAGATGGCAGCATCGACTTTGTGCTACAAGCAAGGATGGTGGGGAGACATTTCCCCCGGTGACGGATTTCATGCTCAGAGAGATCGGCCTTGCCAAGAAGTCAAATTCAGGTCAAACTGCCTGTTCTCTATCCTATGAAACAGACATTTAACGTATTTCTCAGAATCACTAGTCAAAGCAGTGATCTAGATGGACTTGCAGAGATTACTCCCGGTAGCCCTTTGGCTTACGATCATAACTGAACCCAAATTTTCTGTTGCTAATACGGTTGAGTTTTGCCCCGTTTTATGACCCTGCTTGCCATGGTTGTGAAGTGAATCACTGTGTCAAACCTGAAACTGACCTGACAAAAGACATGTTGGAGCTTCAGTGTTGCCACACTGGAGCTGAGGGCTAGGGAGAGAGGAAATAGAGATAGCTGGAGTTTTGTAGCCAAAACAAAATACTTTCTCTTGGGAACCAAGGACATTCTCACATTTGGTCAGAGAGAGAGAGAGAGGAGTGATGTTACCCAGCAACCAGATAGCACCTCGATTGGACCATGTGACTGATTGGGGAAAGGGAGAAACTTTTTACTTCTAATTAGATGAAAACAGACTCTGAAGGTTCCCACGGTTCTCACCTAATTAAAAGTATTTTCCCTTTCCCCAAACATATGTCATATTGGCACAGATCTGGTGAAAACCGACTCTGAAGTTTTCCACGGTTTTCACCAGATCTTTGCCAATATGATATATCCAGTAAAACTATTCTTTGAGGAATCTACCTGCTTTGGAGTTTTATTTGCTATGGGCGTACCACTTGGAACCCTGACACACTGCCGTTGTTAAGTGAATCTGGCTTCCCCGTGGACTTTGCTTGTCAGAAAAGGCAACCCCATGACCCATGCAACTGACACAAATAGGAACCAATTGTCAAGGGTCTGAATTTTGATCATTGGACCATGGTGGGTTGCTGCAATGGTTGATAAGTGCAAAAAACATTTTTTTCCCGTGCTGTTGTAACTTTGAACAGTCACTAAGCGAGTGATTGAGTACGTTGAGGACTACCTGTACAGCTGTGATTGATTCACTTAACTGTGGCAAGAAAAGTCGTAAAATGGGGCAAACTCAATTAACAACCGAAATTTTGGGCTCAGTTGTGGTCGTAAGTCGAGGACTACCTGTACCTCATATGCCTTTTCCTATTATAATATTCAATCTGCCTGGCACCCAGATTATTGCCCAATGGCAGAAAGCTGTTGTCTTACAAGCTAAGAGAACAAAGAAATCTGTAGATGCTGTGCCACTACAGATTCTTTTTAAGGCGCTGGTGTAGGCGATTGTGAGTTATAGTCCTTTAGGCATGAAAAACCAGCTGGGTGACTGAGCTAGTCCCTCTCTCTCAGCCCAATTCACCTCACAGGGTTGTTGGTGATGTGAAGAATACAGAATTTATATTTGCTGCCTTGAGTTATTTATAAATAGTAATAAAGGCAGGATCCAAATCAAATCAATCAATAAATACATAAATACACATTTTAAATGAATAAATACCATTTTGGCTGGAATCTCAACAGATCTCAACATTTGGAATACTACAGGTAGTCCTCTACTTACAACAGTTTATTTAGTGACTGTTCAAAGTTACATCACTGAAGTGACTTATGACCTTTTCCCCAGACTTACAACCATCACAGCAGTCCCGTGGTCACGTAATTAAAATTCAGACGCTTGGCAACTGAGTCACATTTTTATGATGGTTGTAGGATTCAGGAGTCATGTGATCCCCTATTGAAACTTCCTGACAAGCAAAGCCAAGGGGGAAGCTAGTTTCACTTAACTACTCATTTACTGACTGCCATGATTCACTTAACAACAGTGGCAAGAAAAAAAAAGGTAAAATGGGGGGAAATTCACTGAACCAATCTTTCGCTTGGCAACAGAAATTCTGGGGCTCAATTGTGGGTCGTCAGAGGATTGACTTCTGGTATTCGATGCTCGGTAAGCTCCATGAAAACCTTTGATGCCGAATAAGGCACCTTTACCCATTCTGCACAGAGAATATGCCCTCACCATATGCTCCATGCAAATGCTGATCTCCCCGTCGCTGTAGAAGGCGCCATAGAAACCGACGATGTATGGAGAATTGCACTCGTGAAGCACTTGAAGCTCCCGGATGATCTGGTTTCGTATGGCAGGCTTGATCTCCAAGTGAATCAGCTATGGAGGAAACAAGAGAGAGACACACACACACATATATCAAAGAATGAAGACAGCGCAAAACAGCTCCAAAAAGAATTGCGCCAGTCTTTAGGCATGGTAGGGAGGACTGGTAAAGGACTATAATTCACAGTCATCTAATTCCTACCCTGTTTCCCCTAAAGTAAGACCTCCCCGTATAATAACCCCAATCGTGCCTTTGAGCGCATGCGCTAAAATAAGCCCTCCCCTAAAATATTTAAACGCATCCGCAGCCGGTCTCCACCATTTCCTAGGGGGAGGGGGGAACATGCCCCATGCGCCTTGCATGCACCTGCAATCCACGCAGAACGGCCTCATGGAGGCTGCTCCCACAAACCCTAGCTACCTCGCCCCTTCTTAGTGGCTGACGCAAAAAGAGCAGCAGGCCCAGCGACACTAGAGCTGGTAAGTGTGTGCCAGACACAGAGAGAGAACTTCCGTCCCTCTATGAATCAGCTGATCCATGGGCCGAGGTTAAGGGGCCTCCTGCTACTCAAAAATAATAAGACCTCCCCCAAAATAAAGCCAAGCGCTTATTTCGGGCTGAACAGAAAATAAGATCCTATCTTATTTTCAGGGAAACACGGTAGGCCAGCACTGGTATAGCCTCTACATGTCTCAGCCTCCCAGATATATATGGACTAGATTACTTTAATCAGAACAAAAGTCATTTGGGATTCAGTCCTAGTTTAACAGCAAATAAGTTGGGAATTCTGGTATCCTTTGGGGAAGCTTTTCCAAATCTTACCATTCTGACCTGAAAGTATTTTTTTGTTTTTATAGTGTTACGTTCTACTGGTTAAACTATTTTACTTATGCTAAATTGTTTCATTTTTTTATTATTATTATTCTTCCAGGCCATGGAAGATACATTAGCCAATAAACAGCAGACGGGGGGTTCTATCCTCATTACTCACAGGGGAAAGGTAGTTAGAGGGGAATGGCTGGTTGTGACTCAGTCAAGCCCCTACGTCTTTCCTGAAGGGAAAAAAAAATCCCTTCTGTTTCAAAATGCTGTGCTAACAGAAATTAAAAGTTGTAATGTAATGCTGTTAACAGAATGGCATGTTTTGCTTTCTTTTAAAAGGCCAAATCTGAAGATTTACCACAGATAGTTTGTTATTTGAGATTTCACATTGGGTAAAGGTAAAAGGTATCCCTGGGGTTTTAACTCCGCTAGTCTCCTTTTCTAGGCCACTGAGCCAGTGCTGTCTGAAAATATTTGTGGTCATGGGAGCCAGCATGACATCACAGCGCAGAGCATGCAGCAAAACACAGAGCACTGTTGCCTTCCCACCAAAGTGGGACCTATTTGTCTACTCGCATTTACATGCTTTCAAACTGCTAGGTGGGCTGAGGCTGGTGATGGCAACTCACTGCATCACATGGTGGTAGAACTCAAACCACTAGAGCACAGAGCTTCTCTGGCACCTTTTAATCCACTGAGCCACCGTGCCTCTTCACATTGGGAAGAGACCTACATTTGTTTATTATGAAATAGCCCCACGCAAATAAACCGGTATTAGCAGACTCAATTGCTACTGACAAAATGCTACATTGTTTGTCATTAATCACTACAAATCTTTCTTAAATTAATCAACAGCCTTGATTACTGGACTATTAATACATTTTGAAAGAGAACTAAACTGCTTATGACTCATTGGGTCATACTTTTATCAATAATTTATCTAGCTGTGGTTGCGCAGTGGTTAGAGTGCAGTACTGCAGGCTACTTCTGCTGACTTCCAGTTGCCTGAAATTTGGCAGCTCAAATCCCACCAGGTTCAAGATTGACTCAGCCTTCCATCCTTCCGAGGTGGGTAAAATGAGGGGCCAGGATGCTGACTCTGTAAACCGTTTAGAGAAGGCTGTAAAGCACTGTAAAGCAGTATACAAGTCCAAGTGCTATTACTATTGCTATTGTATTGTGTTATGATTGCAGAGTCAGCCCGGAGATGTGCTTCTGGCCTTTTAAAAGGTATTGGCAGACACTCTTGCTCAGTAACCGAGCAATGAGACTGCAATTATAGCTCTACATTTGCTAATGATTCTACACCCAGGAAGGCCTGCAGTATAACCTACTTAGCAGTGCAAAAAAAGAAAAAAAAACAGCAGAAGAAAAGTGGGAAGGAAGCAGTCACCATAGGAACGCTCAGACTGCTCAGGAATGGAGCACCGAAACTACTAATTTATGGAAGACGGTTCATAGGAGAGTTGAAGCCTTATGTTGCGCAAATGTTCTTTCCGTACCAGATGTACAATTTTGCAAAGGAGAGCAAACCCATCAGCCGCTCAACCTGCCAACGTATCTTCCATAGGGAAAAAGGTACAAGATATCCACCCTTTGTTATTTATGTTGTTGTTCAGTCACTGTGTCTGACTCTTTGTGACTCATGGGGCACAGCACACCGGGTATCCTCTGCCCCCCGTTGTTTCCTGGACTCTGCCATCTAACCATCTCATCCTCTGCTGTCCCCTTTCTCCTTCAGTCTTTCCCAACATTGGAGTCTTCTCCATGGAGCCCTTCTCTTCTCATTGGGTGGCCAAAGTATTTTGAGTCCCAAAGGTGCTTTTTCAAGAGGCTATTTCTGGTTTTCCTTTGAAGACTTTTTTTGCTTCTCCTCCAACAAGCTTCTTCAGCTTCTTTGATGAGAAAATGAAAAAGCTTCTTGGATGAGAAGCAAAACGTCTTCAAAGAAAAACCAGAAAGTCCAGTTGCCTCTTTAAAAAAGAAGTTGCTAGATCCCTATTAGTGCTCCTTCCTGTCTTTTTCTCTTTGATCTTCATTCTCGCTCACATTAGGTCACATAAGTCAAATAAGAAAACAATGGCCAGAATTGCAGATGAATTTCAACTTCTCTTATAGCAGTGCTTCAGAGATAAGTCCCGCTAAATGCTTTCCATCACCTCAGAGGAGAAACCCCCCATTAATTTTTTTACAATTATGAGTGGGACATGGATTGAAAATCACTACAGGTAGTCCTCCACGCACAACCACAATTCGGAGCAGAATTTCAGGCGGTTGCTAAGGTGAATCATACCTGATTTGACAACTTTTGTGCCACAATTGTTAAATGAATCACAAAAATCATTAAGTGAGTCATGTGGTCATTAAGCAAATCTGGCCTCCCACAATGATTTTGTGATCACATGACCCAAGATGTTGCAACTGTTGTAAATACATGCCAGTTGCCAAACACCCAAATTTTGATCAGGTGATTATGAGGATGCTGCGATGATCATAAGTGTGAGAACTGATTGTACATCACATTTTTCAGAGCCATTGTAAACTAAATAGAATAGAATAACAGAGTTGGAAGGGACCTTGGAGATCTTCTAGTCCAACCCCNCCTTTCGCGACAGAGGCCGACAGCAGAATTTTCCCAAGCGGCCTTTCCGTGGGGGGTCTAGCTCCAGACCTTTCGCCGGTATAAGTTACCACCATCGAACAGCTCCCATAGGAGGGTGTCTTCAGCTGTTCCACGCCCAATGGGAGCACATCACATCGGACCAGTGGGTCCTACAAACAATTCGCATAGGTCTGACACTAGAATTCATTTCACCTTCACCTCGTCACTTCATCTGGTGCCCAACCCCCTCCTGCCCTCTCAAAAAGGCTCTCATGGAACATGAGATCCTTCACCTCAGGGAGATCAGGGCCATAGAACCGGTTCCACCCAGTTACGAGGGGACAGGTTTTTATTCCATTCTCTTCCTTGTCCCAAAGAACTTGGGTCATATTAGATTTTTAAAAAGCTAAACCATCACATAGCGTACAAGAGGTTCAAGATGCAGTCCCTGCAGTCCATCTTGGGCTGCATCAGACCAGGGGACCTTCCAATGTCCATAGATCTAAAGGAGGCTTACCTGCACGTACCTATCCGCAAGGCCCACCACAGATTTCTGAGGGTTTTTTATGCAGGCCAGCACTTTCAGTATAGGGCTCTGCTGTTCGGCCTGTCATCAGCCCTCAGAACTTTCACAAAAATGCTCGCAGTGGTAGTAGCCTACCTCAGATCACGTCCAGTGTGGCTCCAATGCTACCTGGGCGACATTCTCATTCAGTCATCGTCCCGCCAGCAAGCGAAGCAAGACCTGCAATACACGATGAAAATCCTCCAAGACCACGGGTTCTCTGTCAACCTAGAAAAAAGTCATCTGGAGCCAACCACCAGGTTGCAGCACCTCGGCGCCATCATAGACACTGTAGCATGTCCTGTCTCCCGACTGAATGATAAGCCTCAGGACTCTTGTGCAATAGGTACACCAGTCGCGGCATGCCCCGATTGTGCAGTTGTCCCAACTTTTGGGCAAAATGATATCGGGTCTGTCCATTGTGCCTTGGGCCAGGCTCCACTCTCGACAGCTGCAGTGGCATATCTTACCGCACCGGCGGGCCAAGCAGAGCAACTCACCAGCGTTGATTCTGGTCCCTCTGGTGTGTCGGTCCTTCGGATGGTGGATGACTTCCACCCTAGCAAAGGGCTCCTTCTTCAGAGAACCAGACCATCTCACCATCACATAGGATGCCAGGCTTTTCGGCTGGGCGGCTCACTTCCACAACCAAATAGCACAAGTCAAATGGTCAGCGACTGAGTTGACGCACAGCATCAACTGGTTGGAATTGAGAGTGGTGAGATTGGCTCTTTTCAAAGCAACACTCCAGGGACACCACATGATGATCCTCACAGACAATGTAGCGGCCAAGGCACACATAAACCGCCAAGGAGGCACCTGATCCAAGTCCCTGATGGCAGAGGCCGAATCCCTGGGAATGTGAGCAGAAAGACACCTGTGCTCGATTGAAGCGGAGCACATCTCTGGGGTGAACAACATCCAGGTGGATTGGCTGAGCAGGGCCATGGTTGACCATTCAGACTGGTGCCTGCATCCGTACCTGCTCCATCGTCTATTGCAGAGGTTTGGCCAACCGGTAGTCTATGTATTCGCCACCCTGGAGAATGCTCACCTTCCCAGGTTCTTCACATGGTTTTACACCCCGCAAGCGGAGGGGGTCAATGCCCTACATTGCCCCTGGCTGCTGGAACTTCTATATGCATTTCCTCCGTTGTCCCTCCTGCCCAGAGTGATTCGAAAGATACTGATGGAGGGCACGGAGGTCCTGCTCGTGGCACTCTTCTGGCCCAGAAGGACCTGGTTCTCCAATCTCGTGAGTCTGTCCATCGATTCACCTTGGCGGATCCCCCAGCAAGAGGGCTCTACAACATCCGAAGCTCCAGTGGCTGCAACTAGCCATCTGGCACTTGAGAGGGATCTCCTGAGCAAGGGCAGACTCCCCGACAAGGTCATCCACACCATTCAGGCATCCAGAAGACCTGTCATGACCAGAATATATGATGCCACCCGGAGGTCCTTTGAAAAGTGGTGCACGAGGTAACGCTGGCCGCAGCTACCGTTCCTCAAGTCTTGGGTTATTTACAGGATGGACTGGACCAGGGCGTGGCACCTAACACCCTCAGTCATCAGGTGGCTGCTTTATCCACGATCCTTGTGCTTAATAGTCACTTGTCACTTGGCCAGCACCCCATCATCTGTAGTTTCCTACGGGGCTCCACCAGCCTGAGACCACCAGTCATCTATCGGTACCCATCATGGGAACTCGAGGTCGTGTTATGGGCCCTAATAGACATGCCCTTTCAGCCACTACGTTCGGCCAGTCTGAAACATCTGATATTTAAGACCAACTTTTTAATTGCCATCAATTGTCCACGCGACGGATCTCAGAGTTGGCAGTACTGTTGGTTCGGGAGGACTTATGTCTGATACATCCTGACAGAGTGGTCCTACAGCTAGAGCTAGCATTTATTCCCAAGGTCAACTCCTGGTTTCACCGGGCCCAGGAAGTTTTCCTTCTGGATTTCAGTCCGCATCCCAAACAACTGAGGGGAAAAAGATGGCATATGCTTGATGTTCATCACATGCTACGAAGGTACATCAAGCACGGCAGTGTTCAGATGTTCTATGTCACTTTTCGTTTCTTTTCAACGTGCATCCCAAGGTCACAAAGTCTCTTCATCTACCATCGGATGTTGTCTGTGTGCATGCATTACCCTCGCTTATGTCCTGCAATCCAGATCGGTGCCACGCCATATTACCGCACATTCTACACAGAGCGCCGCCACCACCGCAGCCTGGGCGACCCAGGCACTAATAGGGGAGATTTGCAGGGCGGCTACTTGGACTTCCTTATCTCCATTTGGTCAGAACTACAAATTGGACAAATTAGCTTCTGCGGAGGGGGCATTTGGGAGTCGAGTCCTATAGGGTATTCATACCAGCGGAGAGACCATGGACTCATCAGTTTCCTGCCCTAGTGACATTTAGCTTGGGTATNCCTTTCGCGACAGAGGCCGACAGCAGAATTTTCCCAAGCGGCCTTTCCGTGGGGGGTCTAGCTCCAGACCTTTCGCCGGTATAAGTTACCACCATAGGACAGCTCCCATAGGAGGGCGTCTTCAACTGTTCCACGCCCAATGGGAGCACATCACATCGGACCAGTGTGTCCTACAAACGATTTGCATAGGTCTGACACTAGAATTCATTTCACCTCCACCTCGTCACTTCATCTGGTGCCCAACCCCCTCCTGCCCTCTCAAAAAGGCTCTCATGGAACATGATATCCTTCACCTCAAGGAGATCAGGGCCATAGAACTGCTTCCACCCGGTCACAAGGGGACAGGGTTTTTTTCCATTCTCTTCCTTGTCCCAAAGAACTCGGGGGAGGAGGGAATGGAGGGGCGTATTAGATTTAAAAAAGCTAAACCATCACATAGCATACAAGAGGTTCAAGATGCAGTCCCTGCAGTCCCTCTTGGGCTGCATCAGGCCAGAGGACCTTCCAACGTCCATAGATCTAAAGGAGGCTTACCTGCACATACCTATCCACAAGGCCCACCACAGATTTCTGAGGTTTTTTTTATGCAGGCCAGCACTTTCAGTATAGGGCACTGCCATTCAGCCTGTCATCGCCCCCCAGAACTTTCAGAAAAATGCTCACAGTGGTAGCAGCCTACCTCAGATCGCGTCCAGTACTACCTGGACGACATTCTCATCCAGTCATTGACCCGCCAGCAAGTGAAGCAAGACCGGCAATACACGATGAAAATCCTCCAAGACCACGGGTTCTCTGTCAACCTAGAAAAAAGTCATCTGGAGCCGACCAGCAGGTTGCAGCACCTCGGCGCCATCATAGACACTGTAGTGTGTCAAGTCTCCCTGTCTCCTGACCGAATGACAAGCCTCAGGACTCTTGTGCAATAGGTACACCAGTCGCGGCATGCCCCGATTGTGCAGTTGTCCCAACTTTTGGGCAAGATGATATCCTGTCTGTCCATTGTGCCTTGGGCCAGGGTCCACTCTCGATGGCTGCAGTGGCATATCTTACCGCACCAGCGGACCAAGCAGAGCAACTCACCAGCGTTGATTCCGGTCCCTTGGGTGCGTCGGTCCTTCGGATGGTGGATGACTTCCGCCCTAGCGAAGGGCTCCTTCAGAGAACCAGACCATCTCACCATCACAATGATGCCAGGCTTTTCGGCTGGGGGGCTCACTTCCACAACCAAATAGCACAAGGCAGGGGGTCAGCGACTGAGTTGACACACAGCATCAATTGGTTGGAGTTGAGGGTGGTGAGATTGGCTCTTCATTTTCAAAGCAACACTCTAGGGACATCACATGATGATCCTCATGGACAATGTAGCGGCCAAGGCACACATAAACCGCGAGGAGGCACCTGATCCAAGTCTCTGATGGTGGAGGCTGAATCCCTGGGAATGTGAGCAGAAAGACACCTGTGCTCGATTCAAGCGGAGCACATCTCCGGGCATTTGGGAGTCGAGTCCTATAGGGTATTCATACCAGCGGAGAGACCATGGACTCATCAGTTTCCTGCCCTAGTGACATTTAGCTTGGGTATGTCCCATGCTTGGACTCTCCAAGCAGTGTACAGGAAAATGACCATTGGCTTACCTGAAGGGTCGTTTTCTGTACGCTGCTAGGAGAGTCCAACCCCATGCTGGGGTCTTTCTCCGCTGTCGATTTGTACTTTGGACGATTTTATGGACTTACTTGGACTAACTTTCAACATGCACAGATCCACACCTTCATTGAAAAATCTGGCAGTCAAGGCAACACCAGAGGCGTGGCTAAAGTTTCAATTCAGTCCTGGGCAGATTGGCTGAGTTTAACCCATGCTTGGACTCTCCTCACAGCGTACAGAAAATGATCCTTTAGGTAAGCCAATGGTCATTTGCTATCAGAGAAATGTTTTGTGAGAAGATGGCCAGGCGGAAAGAAAACAGAAGTATCAGATAACTTCCACCGACAACAGTACCAGCCGCCCCGGCATCCTTTTCTGTGGTCATTTTTAAAGTGGGAGAAGAGAGAATTGTTATTAATTCAATAGCATTCAAATTTAATTACATTTAAAATGTAACTTTTATTCTGCCTCTACTTCTTTCTTTGCCCAGATCCTACCCACGTTTTGACATGCAAGGCCTGGCATGTCTGGAGGCATCAAAAAACTATGCCCTTTAAGGCAAGACGTTTCAGATTTCTTAGTACCAGGAATGATCAAATGAATGTCCCCGAGCTCGAAGCCCCAAGATCTGTGCAACTCTCAGCATCCTTGATCATTTCCCAAAGATGAATTTTGAAAGAAAAATGCACGAGGAGAAAGAATGGGTAGATATCTCCCAAGATCACTTGCCTAGTTAGTAAGGAAAGGTATAACTTCACGGGCATTTACATCTTTGGAATATGCCATGCCTTTCATGCTCAAGTTTTCTTGGAAACAGGTCATTGGATAACTCTTTTCTAAATTATGTTTTAAGGTTTGTTGTTCTGGAATTGCTGAGAAATAGGATAATGGTCCAGCCACCCACTTGCAGGCCATAGCATTTTGTCTTGGTGTAGAAGGAAGAGGGAACGGCCTTGAGAGACAGGTGGAGGAGCTGTTGCCAAGGCAACAACCAGATAAAAGAAATTCAAGTCCAGAGCAAGAATGTAATGTATGTAAAAGACTGAGACAAATCCTTCTTAATTCTAATATGTGAGAATAACCTTGGGAGACACGAGGAAGAGCTACAGCCTAGCCCTAGACAATGGCCTGAGGAGAGAAATCTGAATCCAAGCCAGAGTGGGCATGGGGAAAGCATCCCAAAATTAACCCTATGTATCTTGCTGTGGCTCAGCAGTTAAGACTGCTGAGCCACAGCAGTCTTAACTGCTGACTTGTAAGCTGGAGAGCTGACAACCCGGGTTCAAGACCCGAGCTCCACACAACGCGGTGAGTTCCTGTTGCTTGCCCCAGCTCCTGCCTCTTTCCAGTACATTTTTGTCCCCCAATAAAACATATTAGTTCCTTGGTAATCGTGGTGCTCCTCCTGCAGAGTTTTTTGCCTTATGCAGCAGTTCTGTCTCATTGAGAGCACATTAAGGGAAACATGTTAAAACATCCTCTGACAGTCCTGTTTCTTTATTGATTTATTAATAGTTAAGTGGTCACCAGCCGTGTTGTGGGGAGGTAGAACAAATCTTAACCCGCTCCTTTTCATTGGAAATAAATAAAAGCAGCTGGAGACAGAGGGTTGGGGAATTGAAGCTCATCTGGCAGATATATTCCATGCATTTGGGTTAAAGACCTTTAGGATGCTTGTTAGAAAATAAATGAAGCATATTCTAGGGTATGAATTTCCATGAGACTCAATATTGCTATAGATTTCATTTTAAGAAGCCAAGTCATTGTTGGGTCATTCATGAGACCAGATGAGATACATGGGCTACTTCCATGCATTTTCTTGGCAGCCTAATAAAAATACTTCTGCTTTTTTTCCAGCATATTTTTTGAGTGTATCTTACATCGCTCTGGTGTTCTGACCCGGCTCCCAAACATGACAAGCATGTCGGAGTTTGTTGCATAAATTCAGCTCCAGAAGCACAAACCGATAACTGATGCAGCAGGATTCATTAACTTCTTTATATACATAAGAATAGATGAATAAATGTACAATACCAACAGGTGGTTCTTTCAAGTAAACCCAAGGCAGGAGAGTTACAGGCAAACGCAAACAGTTTCATATCAGTAGAGAAGCCCAGACAGACTGCTAGTTTACTTCTTAGAGCAGCAGACTCGCTCCTTTTTAAGTCTCTGTTTCAATTCTTTGCACAGACTTAGAAGGTTGCAGGCTAAAACACGCCCTGGCCCCTAGCTGTTTCAGCTCCCATTGATTGACCTTGTTGCTATGCCTATTCATTGGCTGACCTTGTTATCATGTCTCTCCCAATCATGAATACACTAACAAAGCATGCTGTTTGTAACTAAACGTTCCCTTTATTAGGAGCATCAGCAGCCCCAGCCCAGGCTCTCTCTCACACGCAGCAGGCTAACGAAATCTCTAAGTGGAAATCGAAGCTCCCTCCCTTTCCCCCTGAAATGTCCCCAATACACCAGGAGTTTCTCCCCACACTCGTAAAGGAAGTCCTGGAAGGTGCGCTCACACGTTTCCAGCATCAGAGACACACACACACAAACACTCAGAAGGCATGCCGACTCTCAGCGCAGCAGATTCCACGAAAAAATTCCGATAAAGTTCCAGACAGCATTCAGAAGTTCAGACTATCAGTGCCTGACCAACATGGAGATGAATAGTCCTATTCATCTCTGCCCCCTGCCTTTTATCCACAGAGCTAAGGTGGGGCTTAGCAGTGGTGGCTCCTCCATCCCTATGACTGGCCCATAGCGTTCCGCTGCTCTCCTCTCCTCTGCCTTCTGCGCCTCCGCATGTCAGGCACAGGACCCAGCTGTTCCTCCTCTTCCTCATCAGCCACCTTCAGACTTGGGGGCTGTTGCCTCTCCATCTGGGAGCTGATGGACAGCCCAGGCTCCGCTTATGTCTCTATCTCTGACATCTCCATCCCTTCTTCACCCTTGGAGCTCTCCAATTGCCTTGATGCTGACCTCACCTCCCACTCCACCTCCTCTGGTTTGACTTCTGGAGAGGCTGGCGGCCCACAGGCCACAACACCTGGCCTTCTCAAATAATTACCACCTAATTACTAATGGGGCAAACCCTTCTTATTAGCTTTCTTGACACTATTGTTAAGAGGATACAGGTGCTCCCTGACTGACAACAGTTCATTCAGTGACTGTTTGAAGTTACAACAGCACTGAAAAAACTGACTTATGACATTTTTTCACATTTACAACCATTGCAGCATCTCCATGGTCACGTGATCAAAATTCAGACCTTGGGCATCTGACATGTATTTATTTATGAAGTCCCGGAGTCACGTAATCCTTTTCCTGATAAGCAAAGGCAGTGGGGAAGCCAGATTCACTTAGCAACAGAAATTTTGGGCTCAATTGTGGCCATGTGTTGAGGGCTACTTGTAATTTATAACTCTTGGCCTTTCCAAAGGTAGGATTAAAAGTAGTGTTATGATTGCCCTTATTTCCTTCAGAGAGAAGGAAGATGTGCACATTTTAACAATGTGTATCTTGTTTTATAATGCAGGTGTAATGCAGATCACTTTGTATGGTGGGTCACGGCCAACGGCTACGGATGGCACTAGTCTTCTTTAGAGTCCACCCTGGGATTATTCCTGGAAGTGCTAAAAGCATTTAAGAGGACGCCTGTGGGACTGTTGCTTCCAACGGCACTTCTACAGCGGTCATGGCAAGCAAACGGAAGTCAACAACTCCATGTATGGTACGAGCATCTGAAGCCCCGGAGTCTGGTGACCCCATGGACTGCAGTGTAGGGAAAGCACCTGGTGCTCCTGAGCAGGACTTAGAAAATAATTTGGCAGCCAGCAAGGATGTTTTTGAGAATGACTGTGAAGTGATCGAGGGGAAATCATCTCCAGCCAACCCAACAAGGAAAACCCTCGGTGGTTACGAATGTAAGTACTGCCCGTTCTCCAGCCAGAACCTGAACGAATTCACAGAGCATATAGACACGCAACACCCCAATGTGATTCTCAACCCCCTCTACGTATGCTCCGAATGTAACTTTACAACCAAAAAGTACGATTCCTTATCCGAGCACAACGCAAAGCTCCATCCAGGAGAAAACAATTTCAAGCTTAAGTTAATCAAGCTCAACAATCAGACAGTCCTAGAACAATCCATTGAGGTGACAGGCGGTCCAGCTGTGGTTGAAACCGTTGACTATGAAGGGGCAGGCGATACAAACAAAGGAGCCCAGATCATTAACCCAGGAAAGCCTAAAAGTGAGGCCAAGAAAGCTTCAGTTGACAACCATCTTGATGGGGTTCCTCAACTTCCTCCAGATATCACTGAGTCAATTACTTGTATTAATGGAGCAGAAGTCCTTCAAGATATCCTGGCCCACGTGATGCCTTCCGTACAGCTCCCGCCAAATATCAACCTAGTTCCCAAAGTCCCTGTTCCCCTGAATAGTACCAAATACAATTCTGCACTAGACACTAACTCTACCATGATCAGCTCCTTCAACAAGTTTCCGTATCCTACACAGGCAGAATTGTCGTGGCTGACTGCTGCCTCCAAGCACCCCGAAGAGCAGATTCGAATTTGGTTTGCCACTCAGCGCTTGAAGCACGGCATCAGCTGGTCTCCCGAAGAGGTGGAAGAGGCAAGGAAGAAGATGTTCAATGGCACCATCCAACCAACACACCAGACCATTGCTGTCCTCCCAGCCCATGTTGCCACAGCCAAGATGCCCCAGCCACTGATTCAGACAGCTGTGCCTTGTCAGATACTCAGTCAGACTGGCCTGGTATTGACCCAAGTCTCGAACGGATCAAATGTTTCCCCAATTACCCTCACAGTAGCTGCCAACCAGGGTCAAAAACGGGGTGGGCAGAACCAGCTGGCTGTCCCAGAAGCCAAACGTCAACATGTCAACCCAACAGAAGCCTTGGCCAAGCAGAACGTGTCTGCTGCTCCAGTAAGCACAACAACAGTGCCACACTCTACCGTACTGGCAACATCACCCAGCGACCGCAAAAAAACCAAGGAACAGATTGCTTCTCTGAAGGCAAGCTTCATTGTCACTCAGTTTCCTGACGATGCGGAAGTTTACAGGCTAATTGAAGTCACTGGGCTCTCAAGGACTGAGATCAAGAAGTGGTTCAGCGACTATCGTTACCGGACTCAGCGGGGAATTAGCCATATCACGAGTGACTCTGTAGCCAAGGACCAACTTGCTCTAAGTAGCGCACGACAGGACCACACCTATCATCCCTATCCGGATTTCATTTTCCAGCAGTTCAAAGGAAAAACTCAAAAACAAATCGCCATCCTCGAGGAGAGTTTCCTTAAAAACGCTTTTCCCACACATATCGAGTTGGAAAGGCTTAGGACCGACGCCAGGATGACCAGAAAAGAGGTTGAATGCTGGTTTGCCGAGCGGAGAAAACTTAGGGATAATATGGAACAAGCCGTCTTAGACTCAATGGGATCAAGCGTAAAGAATAAGGACGCAGTTGCTTCTAACGGTGCAACCAATCCAACAGAGCAGGTCAGCATCTCCCAACCCCCAACGTCTTCGCTTAAGTCCTCCACGGCCTTTGCACCAAGCAGTCAAGAGCAGGTCCGCTTACTGAAGAGTACGTTTGTTAGAACTCAGTGGCCTTCCCCACAGGAGTATGATGAATTGGCAGCTCAGACGGGACTCACCAGAACAGAAATAGTCCGTTGGTTTAAGGAGAACAGAAGCTCACTAAGAATGGGGACCTTGAAATGGCTAGACCAGTATCAACAGCAGAGCGTCACTGATGAATGTGTAGAAACTAAGGGTCCCAAGCCACCTGGGACAAAGAATAATCATGAGGATGTTCAGCTACCCAACAAGGGGAGCCAGAAAGTTGGGAAGCTCAGTGCAGAAAGTCCAGAACCATCTGATGTTCAGATTAGCCAAAATAGTCAGCGGAGTATAGATGACGATGCTGCTTCAGACTGCATAGAGAGCTGGAACGAATCGGGACCTAAAAGCAAAACAGATTTTGATTCTGAAAGTATAGCTGGGGATAATGCTCACACCTAGACAGGTAATAACATGGATGCTTTTGTCAATCTAGCTTTTAGCCCTGCCTCTTCCTTCCTCTTGATTTACTTTTTCTCAGTGCCAGCGTATTTTGAGCAGAGTATTTTTTTTAAAAACGATGTACACAGTGATGCTCTAGAAACTGAACTGTTCGAACTTGGTAATTTTGAGATTTGTGGACTTCAACCCCCAGAATTCCCTGTTGCTGGCTGAGGAGCCGAGGCGGCGCAGTGGTTAAATGCAGCACTGCAGGCTACTTCAGCTGACTGCAGTTCTGCAGTTCAGCTGTTCAAATCCCACCGGCTCAGGGTTGACTCAGCCTTCCATCCTTCCGAGGTGGGTAAAATGAGGACCCGGATTGTTGTTGGGGGCGATATGCTGACTCTGTAAACCGCTTAGAGAGGGCTGAAAGCCCTATGAAGCGGTATATAAGTCTAACTGCTATTGCTATTGCTAATTCTGGGAGTTGAAATCCAGGGATCATAAAAGTTGCCAAGTTTGGAGACCCCTGCTCTAGATGGAAATGAATTTGGAACATGGAACCTCTCCTGACATTAAGTCAAAAAATATTTTCAGTCTAGTCTGATATTGCCCATTTCGGCTGGCAGAAGAATTTGTTATGAACTTGCCTTTCAAGATAAGCAATAATTGCCAAACTCCCCAGTTTTCATTTTTAAAAAGAAAGCATGTAGCCCTTGTAGAAACAGTTACAAAGCGAAATCTGAAGTCACCTTTCCGCCTCTTAATATTTTTAAAAAAAGACACTTTCTGCTTTGCAGTGGTTTTTAGCCCCTGAACCAAACGGTGTCAATAATTGGCACGAAAACAGCCCGGAGATGGTTTTGTTTTGTTTTGATCTTCCTTGCTGAGAAACAAATTTTCAACACCTAAAAAAAGACCCTTGATTCTGACATTGCAGCGTGGTATAAATACAGTTTATACAATCATCCATTGGCTGAAAAAGAAAAAAAAATGGGAGAGATGATAAGAGTTGGTAATACGTCTAAGATTAATTTTGCTTTCTCGGTTCAAAAAAAAAAAGTGACCCTGCCACTGTGGGTAGGTGAATCTATTATTGTTTATTTAAGTATTTCATAATGAGGGAAAGGGGCTGTAAGATAAGATAGCCCATCAAGATATCGAAGTCCTCCGATGCCCTTTGGGTAGGGAGGGGGAGAGAGATGGTTGCATGGTAAATAATCCGGTTTGCCACAAAGCTGCTCAAAAATTGGTTTGTTTCTTGGGTATTGTTCTTGTGTCATACCTGGCGTGGGCTCTAGATCAGTGTTTCTCAACCTTGGCAACTTGAAGATGTCTGGACTTCAAGTCCCAGAATTCCCCAGCCAGCATTCGCTGGCTGGGGAATTCTG